GGGGGAGGGGACCATCGCGAGAGACGCGCGGGTCCCCGCTGGGACCTGGTGGCAGTGCTCAGGCTGTTCCGGAACCCCCCGCTACCCGGAAGCCTTGGGCCCGCTCGGGCTCCTTTAGAACGCGGCAAACAGAGGACCTAGCAACCGAGCGCCCGGGCGGGTCCAGCTCTGGAGATGCGCTGGGGCGCGGGCCTCCACCCGGCGGTCCCGGCCTGTGTCAGTGACAGCTTCGCCCAAAAGTGTGACGTCCAGAATCTTTGAAGGGGTTCTTCGGATCTCTGATCTAAGCATCTTTGAGTAGCAGGGGATGAAAGAGTTTCCGAGGCCACCTTGAAAGTTAGAAAATAAAATCAGGTGGGGCCCCATCCTGTAGGTGCTGTGTAGAGGAGCAGGTGAAGGACAGCGCTGAATCACAGCTGCTCCTGAGCTAAGCGGGACCGCGGCAGTTGGAAAAGTGCAGATTTAGGAAGCCATTTCAACTTACAGATTGCAAAATAAATTCGAGAATATTTGAAGTTCATTGTTGTTCATTACTTTAGAGAAGATGGTCTTGAGAACCGGGAGCAAATCATGTCCTTAAATAAAGTAGAAAAAGTTCACACACGTGATGTTCCTTAGACTTTCGTGGTCCTTCCCCCTGTTAAAACTATCTCAAAACTAGACTTAGGTTCATTTCAAACCATGGAGAAGATCAAGACAAGTGTACAATTTTACTTACAGAAAAACAGTTGGAACAGAGTTAGCAGCTACCTATAAAGTATGAGTAAAGGGAGGAAAAAAAAGGACCTTCAAATAAATCTCAAATAATATGAAATTTCACAAAATCATTTTTCTGGATAAAAATTATTTCCTCTTTTGAGTAAGTCAAAATAAATTGAATACCTGCTGGTGGTTTTGATAATTTCTTCCATTTGTCCTAAAAACTTCTGTAAGATTGGTAACATCTTTCCTAATTTTTAAATGGAGAAACTAGACGCAAGAGTTTGTTGTGCTGGGTTGGATCTCATGATTATGAGTGGCAGAGCAGACTTTGCTGCTTGGACTTCTTGTCGACCACCTGTGCAGTAAAATGTCACTAGGAAAGATGAATGCAAGCCGCTTGACCTCTAAGATTGGTCTGAATGTGACTGAAGATGTAAACCTTCCTTTGTGCAACTGGGTTTCATAGAGGAGAGGGGACACTTACCTACAGCACCCTAAGGTAGAAACAGGGACTAGAGAGAAGAGGCTGAGCTTCACTAGGAACTAGTCTGGAGCACCACTGTCAAAAATGCATTTTTAGGATCATGTGAGAATAAGGTGCATTCACCATTGCTTACCTGATCATTCTTGCACTATCATTCATTTACACCATATTACACACTGCACTACAATGATACTATAATACATCTTATCATTCTTCCAATCCCAGGAAAGAGCAAAAGTTTTAGAATGAACTCACTGCTATGGTTCTTCAAATGCCTCAGCAGAATTTAAAGAAAAAAGTAAAAGGACAGCATTCACAACTGTCACAACTCCGGGAGAAAGCTTTTTCAGAATCGGGAATAAAATTGTCTCTGTACGGTATGCCGCTGTTATTACCTGTTATTGTTAATGTTCACACATCAGCACCAGCACAACAGAAATCCCTAGACCTCCTTGTTGCTGAGCAGCAAGAACACTGGGTCTCCAGAGAAGCCAGGCAACTGCGTCTCAGGGTAAAAGGAGCCATAGCTTCAGAAATGTGTGGTTCTTGAGGGCCAAGGTGGTATTTATAATTTATCATTTGTGGACCTGATAGATGGGTGTCATCTCCATCTGTTTCTACTGTATAGTTGACATTCTTAGCACATTATGTTTCTGAATAAAGATAGAAGAGAATTTTTGTGATGGTGGCCTAGGGAAATTGACAAAGGCAATGGAGGGAATGCTTGTTGCCTGTGTTCTCTGCTTTCACTCAGTCTTTAGCTTTGAAACCCCTGGGGGAAACACAGTAGGTCCAGAATCATTTGCACAAATGACTGTGACAGATTTCAGATCTACGAACTACTACTGTGAGCCTGGTGAGAAATACTGTAGGCACCGAGCTGGAGAGATAGTCATTTTGTCTGCCAGTCTGCCTAGATCTATGAGCAGTTTTGCAATCAAAAAAGAACTGCTACTGTGCCCCACACACACCGTCCCCCTGAGCATTTTCTCATGAGAGACACAGGTGGCCAAAATAAAGTCATGGTCATTTGACTGGATTCCCAGCACAGAAGAGAAAAGGAATAGCATTGTTCTCAAGCATCTGGGACATGGCTGAAGATTTCCTGTGGTGAATGAAGGTGTCTGAATGGGGGAGAATAGTTTATTACTTATTTAGACACTGATAAGGTGAATTCTCTTGTATTCATAAACCAGGGCATTCAAAGATACTACTTTGAAGTGGCAATAATAAGAGAGTAGAATCAGATTACTTAATACCTTTGATAAAACTTCACTGAAAGCCACACAATGTTAAATCTTGACTCAAAAATATTCATTAAGTACCTAGCATATGTTAGCCTCACACTGGAAGCTTGTAAAGACATTAACAGCATCATCACAAATACTCTTGCTGAGGAGATAATCCTGTTGTTTCTGTTTTCAGATAACAGGCTAAATCATTAGTGTATTCAAGGTAAGCCCTAGTATCAAGGGAGGGAGCTACTATAGTCACACTTGTTTTGAATGAGGAAAACAACAGTTAGACTAGAACCTGGTTGCAACCCCAAACTAATAAGTTACATTATTCTCAACATACTTTCACTGCTTACTGCTACATAAAAAAGAGTATATTTTGTTCCTCTAAAGTAGAAAATAATTTAATGTTTATTTTTAATGTCTCTCTCAGTTCTCATTTTTTAAAAAAAATGAGTTTTTTTTTCACAAACAAGATTAAAATGAAATCCTCTCAATGGGAACATTGAGTTTTCTCTGCTCTGAAAAGAAATATTGAAAGAATTGTTATTGCGGCATTGGCCAGTAATTCCTAAAATTCTTGCTGTTGATAGTGATTGCAGGAAGTCTTAGTGGTGCAAATCTGGAATCTATATTTTTATGCAGTTCCATTAGTGATTCTACTACACAACCAAGTTTGACCAAGTCAATGTGAGACTCACACAAAAAAACCAAAACAAAAAAATAAAAACCTGTCTCCTAAATTCCATTCACTTTTTAACCCCACCATATATATATATATATATATATAGTATATATATTATATAATACTCCATTTACTTAACCCCAATACATATATATATACATATATATATATATATTCTACTATATATAATTTGACTCTTACTAAATATACATGTATTTAAAGCCATTTCTGGGTTATTTTGATGATTCTCCATAAATCTTTTTTAAAAACCCAAGTTAAAGATGACACAATAAAAATTATTATTGTATGCAGATATTTAAACTAAGGGCTCTTTTCAATTACCATATGGTATTTGATGTAAAAGAAATAAGATTTTTGGATTAATGTATTCGTTTTTGGAGAATTAACATGTTTATAACAGTGTCATTCTAATTAAGAAGGTGATAGAGTTTTTTGTTTGCCTGTATTTTGTTTTACAATCTCCTCATAATATCTTTATAATTTTGTTCATACAATATAACCTATGCCTTTCTTACCAAACTTAGGCCAAGTTATTTTACAGTGTTTGTCTTTTGAATCAAATGTTCTTTCCACATCCTTTGCTAAGTGCTTTTGCCTGAGTACAGGGGAGCTGATTTCTATAATTTATCTTACATTCATCCAATGCACCAAATTCTCTTGTTTTTCATAATAGTCTCTTGGGTTTTCAAAGGAAATAAGCACATCAACTGTACAAGCAACTTTATCCCCTGATCCATCAGTTATACCAGTTATGTTATTTACCACTGCTAAATCACCAGTGTGAGTGATTTTTGGTAATGCTTGCCTGATAGCTCATTTTAAGCAGGTTTAATTTTTGTCATTTAGACAATGATGGCTAAGTGACTTTTTCTTTATAAGGAATTCGCTTCTGTTTCTATTTCACTTAGAGTTTCCCTTGGAATTGGTCTCTTGACCTTGATGTTATTCCCTTTCACAGCCTATGGATAATGGTCAGAGTTTTTTCCCTTTAATTTTTAATGTAGTCAATATGTAGCTAGACTTCCTGATATCGAACTGCACTTTTATTGCTTTAATAGACCCTGATTTGTTGTGGCGTATTACTCTTTAGATTTATTTGTCTGTTGCAGATTCTGATATGTTATTTAAATATTTGGCACCTGTAATCGGTAATGAAATCGACATATACTTTTAATGGTTTTTCCATTCTTTCCTAGGATTTGGTATCCAAGTTATTCAAGCTTCATAGAATTAGCTAAA